GTGGCATTCACTCCATATCTAACACGTAAACTTCAATTTTATATGCTTGAAAAGATATATTTTATTAATTAACAGTTAAAATAGTGATATATTGACAAAGAATTGGATGGTATAAACAAAATAAAAAAAAAAGTAAAATTTTGGTGTTAGATATGCAAATACATAGAAATTGGGCGGTACGTATGTAAATGCCCCAAGATTTCTTATGCATTAAGAACTTTATACTTGATTGTTAAGACAATCTAGATACATGGATTGTTTTTGGTCAATCATAGTCGGCGGTGAAATCAATCAAAAACTCTTAAAGGATAGAATTAAATAATTTTTTTTGAGTGAAAAATTCACAGTATTTTATTTTATTTTATTTTATGCGCTTGTGTGTGTGTGTGTGTGTCTATATATATATATATATATTTTGATGGGTGAGTTACTATATGGATGATTATAAAAATATAATTTTTAAAAGTAAAAATTTATATAATATAATATAAATGTTGTATCCAAATATATTTATATTTATAGTGCAAAGGTGAATTTTATATATATAAGAACTAGCCATGTTCATACCATTGACCCATGATGCTTCTAGCTTGCTTTATATTCCTACTATATTTAGTGCATAATTTTCTTGTTGTTAAATCATTTTAGGGCATAGAGTGTCGTATAGTTTGTGAATTCATACAATTTCGGAGAGACCTTATGAGGTGAGTGAAGGAGGTGGAAAGGACTAGAGGATTCTCAGAAGTCCTACTTCTGTTACCCTGCCATCTCCCTTAAATCACTCGCATGGCTCTCGCCATTATAGAGCTAAAGTAAAAGAAAAAGGATTTGAATGATCCAATGTTTTTATTTTACTTTCAAATCCTTGAAACATTTTTTTTCTATGTTAAAATGACTCGCCAATACCCTACGATAGGCCGAGTAGGGCCACGCCGTTATTTAAGTTGTTTATTATGAATTCTCTAGAATAAAATAATGATAAAAAAATAAAGAAAACATTTAGATTTGCTTCCGCACGTATTTTTACGTGCATTATCCAGACATAATAATTTTTGGTTTTCTCAACTCTCAAATAATAAACAAGAACGACCCGATATGTTAGAAGTTATAAAAAGTAACTATTTGCTTACACTTACAAGAGATACAAAAATGTTGGGACATTTACATGCATTCCACACAATTCTTGTTTTTTTACATATCTAACCCCAAAATATTCATATGTACATTCATACCACTCAACTCAAATGTTTGACACCACTTGAAAACTTATCACAAAATGAACCTTTTCATTCAAAGATTTATAACACCTAGAAATGTAAATACATTAGAATTGTGTAATCTATATCTAACTATCTATCAATATATATATATATATATATATCTGGAATTGTACTGGTTGGAAGATTTTAACCGATGGAATTTGGAAGGCTATAGTCAGGGGATGAGTGTTGGAAGAACGATAATAGTCAGATAAGTGTAATAGGATAATAGTATTCAAGTGATTGTACTTGAGTGATGGCAATTTGATGGGCGTGGCCAACTTGTGGCAATACAAAGCTGATGGTCAGGTGGTGACACTTCAATAACAAAGATCAGATGTTTGAATCGCTATGGTTTAATGGCGACAATCATGCAGTGGCAACGGTCCAATTGTGGTAATTAGGAGGCGGTCTAACACTAGTACTTCCAAACATTTGAATTCTTCACTCTCTAATCTCAATCCCCCACGTGTAGGACACGCTTAAGCTAATTCATATCTTTTTTCTTAAAGTTAGACCGTAACTAGAAATTTATCACAATATCTAGCCAGAAGTGATGGGTAAACGTAGATTTCAGAGGAAAAACTGCCAAAACATAGTTTACCCAAACACATAAAACTGCAGTGCGGTACCACCACCACACTGTCGCCCCAAACAGATCCTTAGCCCTATCAAAAAGGTTATAAATATGCTTCCAAAGCCTAATCTGGAGTAATCTAGAATTGGAGTGGGTTCCTCTTTGATGTTCATGTGTTCATATCATCTCATCGTTCAATTTGACTATAAATTTATTAAAATAGAACTCCGACGATCTCAAGTATGATTTTGGAAAATTATAACACGTATATTATCTCGAGAATTGTGTTTAATCAAGTGGGATTTTTGATGTAGTATCAAAACTAAATAAGTGTAATGATACATTTTATTATGCAATGCACTACCTTTTATGTCATAGGGTAAAGCAAGAAGCACATGAAAAAATGTTCATGATGTTTTAATAATACTAAGAGACAATGAATAGCTAGATATTTAATTTATCATGTGAGTGCAAGACGTGCTTCCCACATAACATAATGAATCATGTTATAGCAAATTTTAAGGTAAATGTGTGATTAAATAATGTAAATAACATTTCAAGCTTATTATGAAGTCCCATTATATTAATGGGATGTTTGGTATGCTGAAAATGTAATATTAAAATGTAAAATGAATAGGAATAATATATTATTATTTAAATATTAAGATTCACAAATATACCTCTTAATTCCTAATAATTTACATATCTAACCCCTAAATTTCAATTTTTACATATATGCATGCCATCTTAACCATACATTGAAAAGATATATTTTACTTTTCTAAAGTTAGTATATATAGCAGTATTTTTTATGTGATTTGAAAGATTTGGGCGGTATAAATGTAAAAAGTTGAGGTTAGGTATTAGATATATAAGTGCATTGGAATTGGCTCGTATGTATGTATGTAAATGACCACATATTTTTATAGGTAAAAATATTATTTCTTTATTATTATTATTATTATTAAAAAGAACTTGTTGCGTAATGCATTTCAGAAATGGAAAAATTAATGCGTACAGACATCACATACAAAATTTGCATTTGGTGTCTGATTTTGACCGTGGAAAAATTAGAGTGGGTCTCACGCTAACAATAAAAAAAATTAAAAGATGTATTTCAGTGGTCCTGATCGAACACCGCACGTTCTCAGAAATGATTGTAAATTCTTAGGACTAATTTGAGATTAATTTTATTTTTAGTTTTTGGTTTATTTTCTCTTTAATTTTGAAAATATATTTGTTTAATGTTTTTTAAATATATTTCTATATTTTATTTCTAGAAACAAGTAAATAAATTTTTTTTAAAAAAACTCAATATAAATTTTAAATATTTAGATTATTTTAAAAAATAATTATATTTTAAATCAAATATATTGAATATATTTTCTTTCAAATCAAAATAAAATAAAAGTGAAAAAATAAAATTGATCCCAAACAACCACTTGAATGAATTTTCAACAAATATTTATGTTTTAAAACCTTAGCTATATATTCACTAAAATTGGGTAAAAAAAGCAAAAATTATTTTGATGATAAACAATTTGAATTTTCAATTTTCTGCATTTTTTTTTATTTTTAAGTAATGATTTATAACTTGTATAAATTAGGAAACTATGAATTTACTTGTTGAACAACAAATGAGATTGTTCATGACCATAAAGAAACAAGTTGTATTATGCTTATGTTCAATTCATATAACTTTTGAGCTCTTAAAAAATATTCAAATTTGTTTGTTTACAAATTTAAACAAACAATATCAGGTTTTAATCGAGCCGAGTTTGAGCTGTTCATCAAATGCATTGGTTCATTACAACCCTAGTTGACAATAAGATCAATGTATATCATAGTTCTTTGATATTACATTTTGTTTCGCCAACAAGCTAGGCTAAAACTCACATCACTGCCAATCTCAATACCCCCTATCAATAATAACATGTTACTTGTATTTCTCAACAAGGCTTTCAAATGCAATTCCCAAAAAAGTAGATGGTCATAGTCCCCAACAACATAGATAATTATCATTGCCAAATATGTTGATGTCCTCCACTACTAGCAACAGTAGTGTTGATGAAACTATTGTCAATTATCATCATTAATTTTGATACTTATAATGTCAAAAACACTGACACATATCATCGTCACCAAAGCCAATCTGTTTCTATTGAAATATTCTTCATCATCACCAATGATAATATTTGTTATTGACAATGAGAACGACATCCATCATCGCTACCATTGTTAACACCCGACAAACATATCCATCAACTATGGCACATGTCTTCTTAGTCATTACCCTTCCCTCTTATGGAAATAGAAATATAGCAAATTATTAAACATCTCTTGATGATAATTTCAGTGCCTCGTTGTCTTCTAACTTTGAACATGAAAGTCATTTTTAATAATTCTACATTAACACGCTCTCTAATTACTATCAAATTCAATCTTTGTTAATTATCACTCATATTATTTAAGTCATTTTAATTAGGTTAAGTATGTTGATATATTTCTTTTCAAGTCATATAAGACATATGAAAAATTTACATTCATAAAAATTTTCTTCAACATCAAAATGATAAATTTTCTCTTTATAGCAACATATATTTTAACACTCGAGGAGCATTTACGGTCATACCTCTTAATTTTTACATATTTACGTATCTTAGCTAACAACCAAACTATCATATTTTCATAAATATCACCCAAGTAACTTCAAAAAAACTTATTTTAGTACTTGAGCTTTAAGAGCAACTACAATTAGAAAGGATTAATAAGCTCGAACCCTCATCCAACAAACCATAACATCAAATAAAATATATCATTACCTCCAACTTCTTAAAAGCAAAATTTACATTTTTACTCTTAAGTTTTAACACCAAAATGCCATAAATGTAAATATCAAACTTCAGCCATTATTTACATAAATACATAAAAATTGTGTGATATTTACATAAATCTCCCCAAAAAAAAAAAATTAAAGCATTAACAATAATTCTAAAAACTAATAATATATTAAGTAGACAATCAATTATTTAAAACATCAAACATGATCAAATTCACATTTAAAATTACATCAACACATCTTAAGCTAATTATCTTTTCAATTAATGACCATATAATACTACAAGTGGATTATAAAAAAAAGCAAATGGAGCCCTCAGCGGTCGCCCTCCCCCTCTGTTTTCCTCCCTCGTAACATCACCTCACAATAAAACACATCCAAAGTCTGGATATTTGCCCCCACGTCCCCATCCCCAGCACTAAAAAGTCATTAAAAAACCTTAATTAATCCCTTACTTAACCTCTAATTAAATTTAAAATTAAAAAAGAAAAACCAGCACATGCTCCGAACCATCCCCTGATTTTCTCTTGCACTGTACGTATAATTAATACATAGATATGAACAACAAGCCCTATTAATTGCTCCGCTTCTCCCATCCTCCTCATTCATTATCCATGGAAGCCGTAGCAGACCTGCAGCCCGTCTCTTCTCCAAAGAAAAGGTGAGTAATTCTGTTCTGCAGATTCGTTATATCTCTTATTAGAGTGTTTGGTTAATTTTAATTACTTATACTTTTAGTGATTAATTTGGATTAGCCGGCGGTCGGTTCAGAAGCGGGTGGTGTCGGTGCCGGTGGCGGACGGTGATGGAGGGAGGTCGAAGGGCGGCGGTGAGGCTGCGCCGCCGTCGGATTCATGGGCTTGGCGGAAGTATGGCCAGAAGCCTATTAAAGGATCGCCTTATCCGCGGTGAGCTTAGTTATTGTATTGAATTGTTGCAGGAAAATTAAAAATACAGTTTTGATCGACAGCATGAATGAATCTCAGATCTGTTTGAAGCAGATTTTTGCTTTTGTTGCTGAAATTAATTTTTCACAGCAATGATATATTGTAAGAAAATAATTATTTAATCTTTTTAATAAAAGAATATTCATATTAATCATGATAATTTTAAAAAAATATTTATTGGGAGAGGTAAAATTGAAGCTTTTATTTTGAAATCGTAGCATTATATAGGAATTTTTATTGTGCTAATTTTACAAATTTGTACTTTTTATTTAGAAAATTGAATTTTTTTTTAGGTTGGATATGTAAAAAAGTGATTTTTCAAATGATATGTATGAAATAAATCTTCATTTTATTTTCATAAATAGTTGTAAATATCATCATTGAATCATTAAAATCATGTGATTTAGTTTAGAATAAATTTTATTTGGTTTCAATTGAGATAAAAAAAAATCAAATTTAATACAATTATAAATAAGTTTAATTAGAATTTCATAATCGAACTTTTTTTTTATTTTTTCTTTTGCATGCAGGGGGTATTATAGATGCAGCAGTTCAAAGGGTTGCCCGGCGAGAAAGCAGGTAGAACGAAGCCGTGCAGATCCCACCACCTTCATCGTAACTTACTCCGCAGATCACGACCATAGCTGGCCGGCGACCGCCAAAACTCACCGCCGCCACCATAATTCGCCGGCGGAAACCACCGGAGATATCTCTCCTCCGCAATCTGATAACTCAAAACCGAGAGAAGCGGAGAGCAATCCTGTATCTTCAGACAACAGCCTGTCGACGGATCTAATGGTGGATGAATCGGCTGAGTTTATGATAGCAGACTCATTCGGATGGTTCGCACAGGTGAGTTCGCCGTCATCAACCTCGCCGGCGGCGGCGGCGGTCTCCGACGGGGAGCTTTTCTGCAGCTCTTTATTTGGATTTGATGACAATGATAAGTTAGGCGGGGCGGCAGTGGATGAGGAGGAGGAGTCGCTGTTTGCGGGATTGGGAGAGCTGCCGGAGTGTTCGATCGTTTTCCGGCGAGGATTTGGAGAGCGGCGGTGGAGTGGGGAGGAAGACGGAAAGCGGTGCGGAATTGAGGCAGATGAGTCGGCCGCTTCGTGGTTCGGGAGTTCGAGGTGATTTCAGATTGCGCCGCCGCCGCCACCGCCGCCGCCACCCCCCCCCCCCCCCCGCCGCCACCGCCTGCGGCAGCAGAGACGCCGGAAACGGTTATCATGTTCTTGCATTCTTGGTCGTAAATTGTTTTTTTTTTCCATTATGAAATTTATATCATAATCTATTTCTTTTATAGTTATTTTATTTTATTTTATTTATTTATTTATTGTAATTTTGGGGGGACTGCGCCGTGCCGGCTATTTTTGGATTTATCTTAGCCGTTTCTATTGGATTAAGCTGGGGGTAAAAATGGTTCAATCTTATTAATTTAAAATTAAAAAATAAATATTTTTAAGTAGGGCAGTTAAAGATCGCTTTCAGAGCATGGATGGATTTAGTGCGGCCCTATGTCGAATTGTGTCTTGAAATTGGATGGTTTGATTTGACTTGAAATCAAAATGAGCTGGCGCAACTTTAGTTATTCGGATTCGGTTCATCTTGGAATCGGCTCAATCTGCCTCAAGATTAAAACTAAATGGCGCAAATTGAGTTATTTAGTATGGTTTGAATAGATGTAGTACGACTTGTTATAGTTTATTTCAAGCTCAGCCCGTTCGAAGTTGAATCGATTATGATTTTGCTCAAAATTGAAGCTAACAGACTCAAATTGAGCTGTTTGAATCAGTTCCAGCTCGAAATTGGCTCGTGAGTCATTATATTCAAGTTTATTGTGCATTAAATATTTTTTTTTTTATAAATAAGAAATATTGTGATTAGATCTGGAGCCAGTTTGAGCAGATTCGTATATGGCTCTAAATCGGCTTTGAAAAATCTTCATCCAAAGTTTTGGCTCATAGCTTGGCACTTTTTTTTTTTTTTTTTTTATTTTTACTATTATCAAGCCAAAATTTGGTTTTAATTTCATCTCGATTCAAGCCAAAATTTGGATCGTTTTTCGAGTGATTAATGAACTTAGAGCTAAATTCACTGCCCTATTTTTGTAAGTGGTATTTATATAATGCAAGCCACCGTGAGAGAAAAAATATTGTGTTATGTTATGTTGATGCCCGCATTCGGACAATGAATCAGATGTGACCACGCTGCTCTGCATCCAAATGCGACTTATCTGGATTATTATCTTTTTTAGGGTTTAGGATTTAGGGTTTTAGCATATCAAACAAACATATTTTAATGATAATAATAATAATAACCAAAAGATCTTAAGGTAGTTCATGATTTTGCATATGATGGTGAGTTTCTAATTAAATTGTGCTCAATAAATAAAAAATAATGAAGTGACAATTACATACATATCACATAATTTTTAAATATTTATATATCTAATAGCTGAACTTTTAAATTTATATAAATAACAGGAAAATATTATATACATAAAAAAATATCACTATTAAAATGTTTTATAAGTAAAATAAACATTTTCATGTATGAGTTTACGACAACAATGTTATAAAACCAAATATGAAAATTTATATGGTAAATATATGAATACATAAAAATTATAACCCATATCTTAATTCAAAGATGTGGCCAAAATGAATACTTTTTTTCAAAATCTCTTTGCTCATTTTTTTTGAACACTTGTAACATTAAAAACCAAATCAAATGTAAGAAAATCGAACATATAACCAACTTAAATGAAATAAAAGCACGACATACTCATAAATGTATCACAAGATGGTTGCGGATAGGGCTGTCAACGAGTCAAGCTCAGGCTCGGCTCGTTTGATACAAGCTCTTGTTTGGAATTGGCTTGTGTTCGAAATGGCTCGTGAAGGGTGTGTTCGTGTTCGACTCGAATAATATTTTCCAGCTCGAGTTCGGCTCGAAAATGGAGGAATCGGGAGAGGTAGATGTCTCGGAAGAGGAAGAAGAAGAACAAACCCTAAGCTCTCGCCGCTGAAACCCTTTCGCGATTTTGAGAGGAGAAGGATGACTCGGAAGAGGAGGAGAGCAGCAAACACAAACGCCAAACCCTAAGCTCTCGCGGCCGAACGCCTTTCGCGATTGAGAGGAAAGAGAAGAGTCTGAAGAGGAGAGGCACCCAACCCGAGTCGTGGCTTAGAAGTAACGATGTAGGGTTTTTAAATTTTATACTTATATATTATATTATATTAAATATATAATATTTATATAAGTAATATTTATTAATAATTTATTATATTTTACAATTTATAATATTTAGTTTTATGAATATGTATTATATGTGTGCGTTTATTTATTTATTTATTTCATTTCGAGTCGTGTTCGGCTCGTTCATATTTCGAGCTTACAAATTTGTTCGTGTTCGGCTCGTTAAGCTTAACGAACGAGCTGAACACGAGCTGTTCGGAAACAACGAGCCAAATTGACAGCCCTAATTATGGATGGCATACATTAATAATGTTTCTTGTTGCAATTTGATCCCAAGTTATAGTCTAAATAAAAGACTATCATTGATGTATATTTGAAAAAAAAAAAAAAAACTACATTTTGAAACCAACTATCATTGATGTATATTTTAAAAAAAACTACATTTTGAAACCAACATGCTACGGGATCTTTATATATCCGATAAATTACTACAAATTTAAATAAAAATGACTTTTTTTAGTAGTTCAATGTTATATTATTATTGGGTTCATTTATCATTAGAAATGATAATCAACATATGATTTTGTAGATGGCCATGAACATGTTGGAATGAATAACTCAAGATGGTGAAGATTCTCTTGAAAGAATGGGAGTTAGGCTACTAGAAGTTTAGTTGAATAAAGATAAATATAAGAATATCTAAAATGATATATGACACTATTAAATAATGGCTTGACTCTAGGGTAATTATCTCGGCTCTAGCATTTTGCATAAGTTTCAAAATGTATTTTTAATTATGTATAATACGGGTGTATTCAAATAAACTAATTGAAAGAGTTACATCTTATGGGTGATGTTATGAGACATGGATAAATCACTTGTGAAAATGCTATTAAGAGCCCAATCACTCAGAATAATCGAGCAGATAGACACTTTCTTTCTCCATTTTTTTTTACTCAGAACTATTTATGATACAAGTATTGTCTCAAATATAATCGTGCATTTACGAGTCAATTTTTTTCCTTACAATAAATATTACACATCAAAAATATATACTAACAAGATGTCCGTGTCACAATTTATGGTCTCTAACTAAAAATAAAACTTGAACTAAGAGAAGGGAGATAGGGAGGATGAAGAGGGTTTAAGAAATTGAGTTGAAGTATTTTCTTATGGCTTGAGGTGATGGTAGATGTAGACTTGTAGTTAAGAGAGAGACAGAGAGAGAGAGAAAGAAACAGAAGAAAAATGTTAGAATAAATGAAGCGTACATTAATAAATGACTACCATTTACTTAGACTTGTGTGACGGAGCATAACATCTAACTTCAAATTGAATAACACAAGTCAAACTTTCTTTGCAATAGCATACACTCTTTTAGAAGAATAACTAAAGGTGATATAAAACTACGGCACTTGTTGAATGAAGTACTCGGAATGCAATAAATCTCTTTCAAGTCCTTCTCATTGCTCCAACTGTTTACTTGTATTTGCAATAAATCGTTTGCATACATATTTACACATTTAACATCTAAACATTAGTCGTCACATTTATCTCTTCTCACCCGAGTCGTATCGTCTGCATTCGTTGTTTAGACATATGGACGATAATGTGAATCGCATCAAGCCGTATATATAATTGTATGATTCGCCGTGAGTGATGTAATATATTTTTTTCCTTGTAAACTGCTGTACCTTTTAAACTTCGCTTCCTACCGTACCATTAATTATCTTAAGCTCTATTATAAAAATGTATTTGCAGAAGCCAAAAGAAAGCGTAGGAGTTCTGCAAAGAAAAAAGTTGTGTGTATCTGGTTTAACTTAATTCCCTTTTTATGTCTGCTTCTCCATTCTTCCCGCTCATAGTTTTGTGTGGATCAGGTTGACGGAACAAGATCAATGGGCACGTGTTTGTGTGTGTGTGTACCTATATGTTACTCAAATTTATGCACTGAAGTTATAATCTTATCTTATTTAAGTATAATAGAAAATGACATGGTATTATAAATTTTTATTATCTGAAATGAATCTCAGGGCGTGACATTAATGTCGAGCAACTTTTTGAGAACTTTTTGAGTGATGAATATTCAAACTTCAACTAAGAGTTATAGAGAACTCTTATTTCAGCAAACTTATAGAGTTATAGAGAACTCTTATTTCAGCAAACTTATAGTCAGCTGACCGATTCGATGAAACAGATCCAACAATACCAAAATTGGCTCAATCTGAGTCAAATTAATCCTAGATTAAGTCATTAAATAACTTTTAGGAGCTTTTCGAGAATAATTGGAAGGTCAAACAGATTTTGAATCTGGCAAGCTTTTAATCAAATCAAATGTCTATACAGGTTGAATCAAACAAGTGCAAATCGCACAATTCCGACAACCTTAAGACCTCAAATGTTAATCGGACAACACATTGTTCGATCAAGTGGATCTCCCTTGGTCATGTATAAGAGGGGTCTAGCAAGACGAATCCAACAGGTGCAAATCGCTACATTCCGACATCCTTATGACCTCAAATATTCATCAAACGTTATTTGATCAAGTGGATTTCTCTTGGCCTTGTGATCAGGGTCGCCTGAATTTTTTCCTTATTTAAAATATGGACTCTATAAATAGAATCATATCTCGTGTGAAGAGGTCTATACCCTGAGTTAGTGCGAGACTAGAGCCTGGAGAAGTGGGAGCTAGAGTTTACCATTCTGCACCAACGATATAGCGAACGCCTCCCACTCCTACAACAGTTGACCACCATCGAGCACCACTCGCAAGCAGTCACCGACCACTATCGGCCGCCACTTTCTTCTTGCGACGAAGCACCGTGTCAAATGCAATCGACACCGCGAACTCACGAAACAACTTACGAAGTGGTGGATCATATTGAACGTCGTGCCAACCTCGAAGACGGAACACTGAAGCTCCTAACCTCAGGGCAACAAATTCTTCCGCACACTGATAAACTCGAGA